TGTGTATGTGTGTGTGTGTAGCTGCTAGTGAGTGAGCTTGTATGTATGTGGCTGCTAGTGAGTGAGCTTGTGTGTGTGCCTGTGTGTATGGCTGCTAGTGAGTGAGCTTGTGTATGTGTGTGTGTGTGTGTAGCTGCTAGTGAGTGAGCTTGTATGTATGTGGCTGCTAGTGAGTTAGCTTGTGTGTGTGCCTGCTTGTGTGAGTGTTTGTGGCTGCTAGTGAGTTTGTATATGTATGTGTGTGTGGCTGCTCCTGAGTGAACTTGTGTGTGTGTGTGGCTACTAGTGAGTGAGCTTGTCTGTAGTGAGCATGTGTCAGTGGGCTTGTCTGTTGGAATCATGTGTGTGACAGTAAGCTTGAGTGTGTTAGCTTGTCTGTAGTGAGCATGTGTGTCAGTGTGCTTGTCTATAGTGAGCATGTGGGTGTCAGTGAGCTTGTCTGTACTTAATTTGTTTGTGTACCAACAAGCTTGTCTGTCAGTGAGCCTATTTGTGTGCATCAGTGAGCTTGTGTTTTTATGTCAATAAGCGTATGTATATCAATGAGACTGTATGTGAGCCTGTGCATCAGTGAGTTTGTTCATGTCTACATGTGGGTATGCTTACTGTATAATTAAATGTTTTACTCTGAAAGGACCAATATTTTGAATTCGAAAAATAAATATAGCAATAATATTATTTAAGGCTATTTCTTGCCCCCCTAAATGATTGAGTAATATATAAGCATACACAATATATATATATATATATATGTTCTAAAGAAGGATATCATGGCACTAGAAAAAGCACTAGAAAAAGTGCAGAGACGAGCTACAAAATTGATAAGAGGAATGGAGCATTTTAGTTAAGAAGAAAGGTTAAAAAAATGTAAATCTCTTTAGTTTGGAAAAACGGCGCCTCAGAGGGGATATGATAACATTATATAAATATATTCGGGGCCAGTGCAAACCATTATCTGGAAATCTATTAATAAACAGGGCTATACATAGGACACAAGGTCACACATTTAGGCTGGAAGAAAGGAGATTTCATCTAAAGCAAAGAAAGGTTTTTTTACAATAAGGATATGGAATTCTCTGCCCGAAGAGGTGGTGAGAGTCCATACAGATTGCAATTGGATAAATACTTGCAAAAACATAACATTTCTAATTAGTGGGGTAATAGCTGATTCAATGAGACATCTGACTGCTATTTTGGGGTCAAGAAGGAATTTGTTCCTAGTTTGCTGCAAAATTGAAAGCGCTTCAGACTAGGTTTTTTTGCCTTCTTTTGGATCAACCGCAAAAACACATGTGAGGAAGGCTGAACTTGATGGACGCAGGTCTCTTTTCAGATATGTAACTATATATATATATATATATATATATATATAACAATCATCTGGAGTGGCAACACATAGCCTTACATATTATTGGTATATTTATTTTTCTAATTCAAAATATTGGTCCTTTTCAGATTGTGTGTAAGTAATATATATATACATACATACATACATACATAATTACACACAATACATGGCACAATCACTTATGGGGCTGGCTTAGATTTTTTTTTTTCCAGGGCTGCTTCATATTCCCAGTCCAGCCCTGTTGCCAGGCCATAAGGACTGGTTTGGGAACCACTGGCTTAGCATGCAATTCTAGCACTGAAAAGGATGTTAACCATCAAATTGTGGTCTCCCATGATCGATGACATATAAAGTGGAATTATTTGGTGCACGAGCATTATCATGACACTGTGTTATTTTGTGAGATATCATGCAACAGACCCTGGTGCTATCTTGAGTTAACATAGATATGCCTATTGATACAGGAAGAGACAGAAATACATGTCATCTAAACCAGGCTGCTAACATGGGAGTAAATAGATTCATTAAGAAAACACATCGTAAGACATAGTACAATTTGTTTGCAAACATGCTGTCACAAACAGCTCCAGTTTCCATTTTATTATGGAGTTTAGATACTGAACCAAATTTTATACTAAAGAAAACTCTAAAATGTAGGCCAATATAGCCAAGTTGTTAATATAGCAAATTTGGAGAAATCTTTCAAATCAGCACTTTCTCCTTAGATTTTGCAATTCAGTTTTCAATTCACTACAGTTTGTGATTAGTGTATACATATAATATACTACGTGCCTTAAGAGCAAACAGAGGAGTTCAAAGAATTTAACGTCTCTCAGTATAAAGATTACTACACTCTGTAAACACAATTTGTGATTTAAATAGCACTATAATAACTAATCCTGATAGTGAACCTCTTCCATAAAAGCATCAATTGCTGGGAATTAAAAACAATATACACAACCTGTATCCAAAACCCTGAACTGACAAAAATAGCTGATTTGAAGAATCTTTCCAATCAGCTTAATTTTGCTTTAATGAACAACCTGTTCTGGAAAAGCTTCTATTTAGAAATAGCTGGAAGACATCTTTGATCGGAAAATGTGCAAATGAATGATTGACAGTCTAATTTGAGCGATTACACGGGAACTGACATTTCTTAGTCTTTTCAATAATAAGTTTACTTATGTCCTTTATCAAATAGATGTTTAACCCGTTAAGGACCAAACTTGTCATGTGTCCTTAAGGGGTTAAAGTGTCGGTAAAATAAATGTAGAAATCCACATGGCTGTATTAATCTTTATCATGAAACATCTTGGTCAATGTCAATCATTGCTATAAGCTTTGCCCCTTGCATTTGGCACTCAGCATAGAGAAAGAAGAAAAAAAAAAAGAACCAACGAGAGATTTATTAGTGTTATGTTCCCAAAAGTGTTGCAAATATGTAAAAGGGAGAAGTCACAAAAGGAATGTGCCTGATTGCCCCGGTTTAAGACACCTATTATTTTTCAGAACACAACATAAATCCTTCCTCAGTGTATCTGCTTCTCTTTCCATGTATTGCGTGCCCTGGTGGTACTAGGACTGAACTGGATTATGTCAGTTCTTTTATCTTCCATGTACATTTAACAGATAATGGGGCATTCCATGAAAATGGTTAACACATTATAGATGATGTTTTATTCTATATAATTTACAGAAAAGTAACAGTTGCCTTTAAGTGCCATGTTTAGTAAATTTTACATGTTGGATGTTTGTCATAATTCTGCTAATTTGCATGTTCACACAGGGAACCAATATCGGAACATTAAGCTTTGGTATCAATTGAAGGAAACTTTGCATTTTTTTTTTAAGTAAGCTAGACGAGTATCTAGAGCAGGGGTTCCCAACCCAGTCCCTCAAGTACCCCTAACAGTCCAGCATTTAGGGACTACCCTGTTGTGTCTAAAGTGTTTTTGTTTTTCTTTCTTTCTAAAAACATCTCAGACACAACTGGGTAATTCCTAAATCCTGGACTGACAGGGGGTACTTGAGGACTGCGTTGTGAACCACTGATCTAGAGGATTGTAAAGTCTTCGCCCAGGACGCAGTCATTCCAAATTCCTTTACACTCTAATAGGCTGCTTCAAAATAAATCCATCTATCGTACAGATGCTATCTTCTGTACCGTCTATTAAGGATTTGTGTGGTAAGGATTTTTTAAATTTTCTTTTTGCAAAAAAAGCAAGAACGAGTAGCAAGCAAGGTCACGAATTAGTGTTTCACACCTGCTAAAAAAAGTAAATCTACGAAGAATGTGAGTTAACAAGTCATGGCATGTCGGGCTTAACCATTCTCCTGCTAGTGTAGTCTGCCGTGGCACTCTGTAAATAGGAGATCTGGTATTGAACCCTTTGAAACCAGTGAGGATATCGTTTAACACACAACATGACAAGTGGGAAGTCTTGATGATTCACCTATGATTCACCTATTTGTGTTTCTGTAGGATACTGCCATATTAAATGTGGCAATGCAAAGTGATTATAGTGTCAGGGATAAGGGCTATTTGTAAACTGAGATAACAAGTCAACATTTTATTTGTATTCATTGTCCATCTTTCAGATCATGGCTGAAATATGGTTGGATATATGGAAAATATACATAATCAGTTTAATTTGCACTAACTAGTGGTTCCCTAACCCAGTCCTCAAGGCCCACTAGCAGTCAAGAATTTAGACATTTCTCATTTCAATGCCATACTAACATTGCCTTGGTGTTCTTTATGACTGGGTGACATCATTGGAACTGGGTTTACAAGCTGCAACACATTTCTAACCTTTTTGGAGTAAAGAAACGCTTAACGATTTTCTTGTGTTCAATGTCAATTGAAAAGTAAAACAAAAAACAAAACAGAAAAAAACATTATGGAGGATAAAAAGGAATTTTAAAAAAAGGTGAAAAAAGTACAAACCGATGAGCAGGCATTTAGATCTGACAGGTAGCAAATGAGGGGCATAGAGGAAATGAGATAAAGAGGTATAACATAGAAAAAGGTATCACACACAAACAATAAAGGAAACAGAGCAGAAAGGACAGTGGACATAGTAATAATAATAATAATAAAATGCAAATCTGACTTTGAAAAAGACAAGGAGCTCATACAAAACATGGGGAACTGCCACACATTATGCAAACACTGTGCATCTTTCTGCGTTCATATGTACTTTACCGTTAACACACAGAGCAAAACAGGGCAGTGCAATATAGGTCTTGTATAAAATTATTGCCAGATCTAGTCTTTACTTCAATAGCCCACACCCACCAATTCCTTGAGACACAGTATAGATATCAAGAGTGTGGGGAGGTGAGGCGTATTCACATGGCTCGGCCTCTGGCAGTCTAAATCTGAAATACATGACTGACTTGGTCAAAAATTTGTTTTCACTGGATTCCCACCAATTAAAAAAAAAGCCAGAGAAATGTTATCCAACGTGTCAAGTTACCATGCAGGCTCGGTGTCTTTTTATTTATTTATTTTTCCTCTTCATTAAAAAGGCATTCCAAAAATGGAGATGGTACCATTTTAAATAATAGCTTTCTTCTTAAACACATATTTTAGATTTAAAAAAAAAAAAAGGCTGCCCTGCAAAATGCATTTTTCATAAGGAGTCTAATGGAATGGGTCATATGCAGAATTGCAGGACTCATAAGACCTTCACCAGCTTTTTTTTGGTACTCTTCCAGTCAGAACAGTGTCCAACAGAACACAGGAACAAGCTGGCTTTACTCTAATATGGTTAACCTTCATATTTATGGAGTCTGCCTTTTTAATACATACATTTAAGGAAGCAAATGTTTTCCAGAGGCAGGTGAGCTGCTAGCACTCATTAGTAATTATGTTGCAATTAATAAAGATCAGCAGAGTAGAGAGTCTTATTGGAACATTGTTTTACAGTTTTTGGGAAAGTTTTTCTCTCTGTAGATAATCTTCAGATTACAATAAATGTGCAATTTTTTTTGAATGAAGGGAATAAAACGCTCATGCATAAGTAGTAGTCTCTATATTGAGAGGCTTACACAACTAATGTAAAATATATATAAAAAATTAGGCACTAGAGGTCTAACAGTACTGCAAGTACATTAACAGTTTATTGGCAGGTATCCTTGATACAAATGTGAATATTACATTCAAGTCATTATGATTAATAGAGTTCACCCAATTATCAAGGCACTTTACGAGAGGCAGGTACCGTTCATTATTCAGATCTGTTGTATGAAAGTCCAGTGCACCAGGGAAGGAATGATTTCATCTGTACCTGAATCGTACCATAAAATGCTGGTGTTATTTTTGTTCCCCTGCTTTCCTTAAATATGGATTTTTTCCTGATTTCAACAACAGCGACACACAGCTCAACATGTGCTCTTGTACAACAGGGGTTTAAAAAAAATGTAAAAATGACATGATGCCATTAGAAGGAAGTGCAAAACATGACAATTACAGACCTAGTGATAAAGACAAACAGGACAGTGCAAATATACACACAGCTGGTAACAAGACTTGCAACTTCCTTTTTGCATCATTGGTTAAGAATTAAAATCTCAATTGACAAGAACAGGCTTCTGTCAAGAGAGTGGTGTGTGGCTTAATACTATGAAAGACAAGAAATATCATATATCACACTTAACACATGTTACATAGTTAAAGAGAATAGAAAATAGATGAGAAATTGGTAGAAACAGCCTCTAAATGTCGACATCTGGAAAGTCTTCTGCGAATGTTTAACATTGGTCCATGGACCCTAAAATCCAACAAAACAGAAATTAGTGAGAAAGCAAGTGGACAAGTTACATATCACTTTATATACTTTTGAACTATTGTTGGTCTAATCCAATTTTTGTAGATCAGGCACATGCATGGCTATTTTACGACAATATCAAGCATGTGGCTTATTGATAGACTTAAAACTTGTTAACTACCTTATAATTAGAGGAATTCTCCAATGTTTTGGACAACCCTGCTTTAAATAAACAGAAGCTACGCCTGGAACAAAATGATGCTGCTATTTTCAAGACATATTATTCTGGCCTAAATTAAGCATGTTGCATGAATTTATTGGAGGAAAACAACATTTTATCCCAAAATTGAGTTGTCAGCTTAGGGAGAAATAAAGAGAAAGTTGATAACAACTAGGAAATTAGTCATGCTGCAGTTTCTTTCTCATTCGGTCTTTGACTGTACTTTTTTCATACACAGTCAGCCAAACAGTTGAAGTGTCATGAGTTGTCCAATCTTCTATGCCGTGACTGAAGTTTGACTTAAAGGGTCACTGTAATCCTTTTTAAAACACACACACACACACATATATATATATATTATTATTTTTTTTTAACTTAATATGCCTAATTGAGCATTACTGGCTAGGTTCCCCCTTTTAAAATTCCATTAAAGATTTTAAACTTACGTGAAATCCAGCACCGTTTCCACTCCTCTTCTTATGTGGTCCAATCAATTACAGGGAGTGCAGAATTATTAGGCAAATGAGTATTTTGACCACATCATCCTCTTTATGCATGTTGTCTTACTCCAAGCTGTATAGGCTCGAAAGCCTACTACCAATTAAGCATATTAGGTGATGTGCATCTCTGTAATGAGAAGGTGTGTGGTCTAATGACATCAACACCCTATATCAGGTGTGCATAATTATTAGGCAACTTCCTTTCCTTTGGCAAAATGGGTCAAAAGAAGGACTTGACAGGCTCAGAAAAGTCAAAAAATAGTGAGATATCTTGCAGAGGGATGCAGCACTCTTAAAATTGCAAAGCTTCTGAAGCGTGATCATCGAACAATCAAGCGTTTCATTCAAAATAGTCAACAGGGTCGCGTGTGGAAAAACCAAGGCGCAAAATAACCGCCCATGAACTGAGAAAAGTCAAGCGTGCAGCTGCCACGATGCCACTTGCCACCAGTTTGGCCATATTTCAGAGCTGCAACATCACTGGAGTGCCCAAAAGCACAAGGTGTGCAATACTCAGAGACATGGCCAAGGTAAGAAAGGCTGAAAGATGATCACCACTGAACAAGACACACAAGCTGAAACGTCAAGACTGGGCCAAGAAATATCTCAACACTGATTTTTCTAAGGTTTTATGGACTGATGAAATGAGAGTGAGTCTTGATGGGCCAGATGGATGGGCCCGTGGCTGGATTGGTAAAGGGCAGAGAGCTCCAGTCCGACTCAGACGCCAGCAAGGTGGAGGTGGAGTACTGTTTTGGGCTGGTATCATCAAAGATGAGCTTGTGGGGCCTTTTCGGGTTGAGGATGGAGTCAAGCTCAACTCCCAGTCCTACTGCCAGTTCCTGGAAGACACCTTCTTCAAGCAGTGGTACAGGAAGAAGTCTACATCCTTCAAGAAAAACATGATTTTCATGCAGGACAATGCTCCATCACACGCGTCCAAGTACTCCACAGCGTGGCTGGCAAGAAAGGGTATAAAAGAAAATCTAATGACATGGCCTCCTTGTTCACCTGATCTGAACCCCATTGAGAACCTGTGGTCCATCATCAAATGTAAGATTTACAAGGAGGGAAAACAGTACACCTCTCTGAACAGTGT